TTTACTTTTTTTTTTGCAGCCCGCTTCCCCCGCGGGGGGTGTTAAGAGGAGGGGGCGGCACCAGCCCCCCCCCCCGGCCCGGGCGGGGGGGTGGTGGCTGGGGAATTCTGGGAGTTGAAGTCCACACCTCTTAAAGTGCCCAAGGTTGAGACATGCTGCCATAAACAAACATTGGCACACACTGGAGTGAGGAGGGTGCTGGCAAGGAAGGGAAATTCCTTCTCCAGTTTCCCTCCAGAAAACCTCACCAACAAACAGCTTTCTTCACATGCTCAAGAAACCTGAAAAATGGAGGTTTCCCACCTGCATGGAGACCTCTCTCTTTGCAAGAGTTGGACTCCCGGGAGATCTACTGGTTTCTTTCAAGCAGGCACAGGGTGGAGGTGGGGGGGTCGTATTCACATTTGAGCATCGGGCCCCCAGCCCCCCAATACCCAACTTCAGTGTGTCTTTCGTGGAGAAAAATCTATCTGTGCAGTTGCTAGGAGTCCAAAACGACTCGATGGCACGCAATGGCTCGATCGATCGAGCAATGTGTTTTTAGAAAGGCAACGGAAAAATTATTCCCTTCTCCTGTTTTATCGCCCACACAACAACCTTGCAAGGTAGGTCGGGCTGAGCGGGAATGACTCTCCCCAAGGTCCACGAGGCAGAGGGAGGTCTTGAAGCCCACTAACCTCTCCCCGACTTTGTCTGCAGCCACTCCTCCCGGTTTTAGATCTTCGATGCTTAATGCAGCTTGGATTTCATCCTAAAACTCGGAATGAAGCGTGCGTGTTAGTAAAATCAATACGGTACAGGGGAGTTTTCTCCCGCGTGGGGCAGGAAAAGGGGAACTTGGCTCGCCTCGTTGCACAAGATCAGAGAGATCAGAGAGAAAAGGTTTCCTTACAAGGCCGCCAGCTCGCCAGAGAACCCGACACGTCTGACTTCTGTTCTTAGGCGGGGTCATCTTTAATGGCATGCTTTTTTTTTTTTCCTGTTTGCTTTTGGAAATTGCAGATTTTTCAAATTTTCTTTAAAATTGCACGCTGGCTCCGGGAACGCCAACCAGTGGGGGCCAAGTGGGGGATCCAGGAAGAACAAGGGAGAGACTGACTGGATCAAGCGATGAGAACTAATCCATAAATAACCATTAGCTGTAACTTCTGACTGTTAAGATGGAAAGCGAAATAAGATCAATGCCAAGCACAGAGAACTGTCAGCCAGAACTGTCTAGGTCAGTGTTTCTCAACCTTGGCAACTTTAAGAAGGGGGGGATTTCAACTCCCGAATTTCCCCCGCAACCATGGTGGGTTGGGGA